GACTGTTTACAACCCTTCTGTACGTACAGTTGCATAAAAACTCCCTATAAAAACTGCAGCGTCCAAAATCCACCCGAGTACAGTCAAATTCTTCGGAAGGCTCCGTTGGCCTATTGAGGGCACAGATGAAAACCAGACTAATCTGTTCTTGACCCAATAATAACTCATTACTTGTAGCACATAGATCTCTCTTTTCTTTAATGACAATGAATTTCCTTACCATTAAAAGCCCTAATAAACAGAGCTCTGCAAAACCCTTGCTGAGGCAGTTTAAGGCACTGCTGCCCTCACCTGTCTCTCACCCCTTTGTGAAGGATTAACTCCATGAGAAAGAGTTTAAGCAGAGGGCAGGCACATCCCTCATCCTGGTACCCAAAAATGGGTTTGTGCTGAGCTGCCGGTGACCCCAAACAGCCAAGGGAAGAGGAGGTTCTGCCTTTCCCAGGGCAGAACAAATTTGCCTGGTCACATCTAAATTTAGATGTCACACAAGAACTTGTCAATAGTACCTGCAGAAGCATAAATAACACAAGGACTGGAAACCCTCACCTGTACAGGTGTTTAAAGACTTTCCTGCCCAAACTGTATGAAATTCCGAGTACATGTTTCACAAGCAACATACTTGGTTCTCTCCCAGGACCCTCTGTTAAACTTGCCCAAACCACCACCCTATCCTTCATTTAACTACTTCATAGGATTGTAGAACATGCTGAGTTGGAAGGGACAAATGGACTTCTTCCATGATGAGAAGAATTTGTGCTTATTCAAATAACTTCCAGAAGAAGGAAAAAAAAGACATCTAATTTCGCTTAAAGAAAAATAAGAAACAAAGAGCAATTCTGCCAAGACGCAGAAGTGCCCTCACATAATTCACACTGACACAGTTGAGCTTCTCCTTCTCAAAACCTTGATGTCTGTCCCTTTTTCTAACACTGCCAGCTGTAAACTTTAGACTGTGGGCTTTGAGGAAGGATAAACATCACTCAGGAAAAGCAAAACTCTTCTCCCTGGTAATCACTGCACTTACAGAAGTTTCATTTTTGCACCCAATCACCTCTTCTTTGTCCAGACCGATCTCACAGTGGTTAAAACGAAAATCCTTCAGCACTGCTGTCACATCCTGCTCCAAAGGTTTAAGCCTGGCAGCAGTCAGCATAAGGCTGGGATAAAATCCCAAAGATTTTACTGCCTGAAATCATTTTTCTTAGCCACTTGTCAGAGCAGCTGAAAGCATTAAAGTTTCCTTACATTCATCCTACCTTTCACAGTCCTTGCACAAAGAAGAGGCCACAAAAACTATGGATGCAGAAGTGAGGGGTTTTCAGTATTTTCTTGGGGCTGTGCTGGGGCAAGGAGCCATTAACGGTTTCCTCTCCATTCACATCCCACTCCTTCAGCACTTACAGCTCACGGAGCCCAGAGGATTGTTGGGAAAGGAATCATTGCACTTAAGAATGACTGGAAAAATCGCTGAACGTGCTGAGTCGGAAGGGGCCCACAAGGATCCTCCAGTCCAACCCTCAGCCCTGCACAGGACCATTCCCAAAAGTCACACCCGGTGCCCCAGAGGATCATTCAAACCCTCCTGGAGCTCTGGCAGCCTTGGGGCTGTGCCCACTGCCCTGGGGAGCCTGGTCAGTGCCCAACCACCCTCTGGGGGAAGAACCTTTTCCTGAGATCCAGCCTGACCCTGCCCTGACACAGCTCCAGACCCTGGGGTCCTGTCCCTGGTCATCAGAGAGTAGATCAGTGTCTGCAAGAAGGAAGCTCCTCTTAAATACCCTTCTACATCACTTTTACCCCATCAGCTGTAACGGCAAAGACTTCTGTTGACAAACGAAAAATGACTGCAGAGACCTGTGTATATAAATTCAGTACATAACTTAAAAAAATTTAAACATGTCTATGTTAAACAGGGGGGGAAAATCAGGCATTACTTGAACTCCATTTGGTTAGCAAAAATCTTTAAGCAATGTTCCAGGCAATGCTGCTGGTCACAGGAAAACTACCTAAGTGATGCTGCCATTTCTGGAAAGGCGTAGAAATTCATCGGCATCTTGTTAACAAATTCGCCTTTGGTTTGGCCATTCACATGACATACATGAAGTATTTCAATCAAAAAAGCCCAACCAAATCAATCTAATTCAGTTCTTCATCAGAACGATGCACTACTGCATCCATAAAAAAAAAAAGGAGTCAGAGGGAACAGGTGGCAGGGATTAAGTCAAAGACTTGAACTTCTCCTTTTGGTGACAACGACAATAAAATTGAAAGATCTGCAAATTAGTTGATCCTGCTGGATGGCTGGGGAGACCACCGCCACCTTCACTGACACTCCTCCCCCACGGCAACACTGGCCTGCTGAACCTCTGGCACTGCTCCCTGGCAAACTCAGCTCCAGGACCATCGTGTTCCAGGGACACTGCAACAGAGCTGGAGAGCTGTTAAAGGGATATTCCCAGCGGTTTGGGGACTTACAGATCCTCAGCAGTCCGACACCAGCTTTAAAAAATAAAACCTCAGTGTATTTACAAGTTTAGCTCCAACTGTCACACGGGAAGAGAAAGCACTTCCACACCGCGATGAGATCGATAATGACGGAACTCCTCATTCCGTGTCAACTGGAATATCGACCGCTGGGGTCATTTACCCAAAAAAGGACATTTTACTACTTTTGCTGAGTGCAAAAACTAAGTGTGCTTATGGATATTCCACTGACAAACACTAATGAATTTAAATTAATCACAAAACCAAGAATTCTAAAAGGTCTTCCTAAACTGTACCTGTGAAAGGAAGCTCAGTAAAGCAACTTTTCTCAACTTTGCAGCAGGGGAAGTACAAAAATAAACCTTGCACAATGTCTCGTGCTTGACCAAGTACAGCTACAAAATGGATTCTTAAGCAAAAGCGAGGGGAAAAATATCTTACTTTAGGACAATAAGTAAACTTTTAAAAGACATCAACGTGCTTTTCATCACTACAATTCCTCTTCCCTTTAAAGAATAGCATTTTAAGGAGAAAATCTCTTAGCCATTCCAGAAAATAAGGAAGCACATCAAATTTGGTAAAGGAAAGATTACTTTTGTGGCAGTGCTTTTGCTGCCATCACACAATTTTTAGGACTTTTCCTGAGGTTGATAGACATGAGGTTCCAAAAATGGTGAGGCAATCGCCCTTGACATTGCCTCTGGGGCACTGCAAACAAAAGTATTCAAGAGAAATGCAAGAGCACAATATAAACTACCTGCAAAAAGGAGGGGTTTGGATATATATTTATTTTACTTATTTATTAGGTCTATCTCTTCATTTTTTCATTTAATATTTTACGTATGTTTTCTTCTTATGGCTACTTTTTATCACCTCTGTTATCAACAACATATTTTTCCTCTCAACTTCTTTAGTTAGTCTCTGCTCACCTATTTACCAGGTATTTCACAAATCAAAAAGATCTTCAGGCACATGAAAGTGGGATGTGTATTCCAAATGCCAGCTTTAAAAGTCTCATTCTTTAATCAGATTTTTGTACAAAAACATGAGACTTCATATAATGACAGAATGTAAATCAAAAATGACAGATCGAGGGACTGGAATTTCTGTGACTCCTTTAATCCACTAAAACGCCCAGCCTTATGATTTTGGAAGAGAATTTAGCACCAGCTGGAACCCCCAGACAGCATTAGTAAAATAATAACAAACCTCCCTCAAGTAAAAATTTTAAATCATGAGTTCAGAAAACACTTCCAAAAAATGAAACACACTTACTAAATTTAAAAGATTCATGTGACCAAGCACCAGGTCAAATCCTGTCACCTGGGAAACAGCAAGAAGAAAAGCAATATTTAAGTCTGCTGAGGATGTATAATTTGACAGATGCCAGGAGATTTATAGAGAACAGTTTGAAATGTGATTTTACAGCAGCTGAAATTCAGCAACAATATTCAACAAAAAAAAATGAAAAAAGGGGGTGAAGAACCTTGGAACCTACAAGTTCTTTGCAGGGTATTGGATTTCTAGTATACTCTCTGCCTCCAAGAGCACCCTGAGGGAAAAGGAAATCTCCAGTTCCACCTGACAACTCCACATGGTAGAGAGGAATGTATTGCTAGCTCTGCCCTCCAGGGTGAGTAAACCTCGTGCTGCAGCCCCGGAGGCCAAACCCTCTCTCTGACCTCCCATTTTCAGGCAATAAAGCTTGAAAATCAACTGCACTGCTGAGGTCACAGGGTTCAACTAAGGCACGGCCACAGCTGAGTTACCTCAGGTGCTCCTGCACGTCTGCAGTTACAGTACCACGCTCACCACGCAGCTGCTGCCTCCAACCTGGCTTCACTAAGTGTTAATTCAACTTCAGGCACTTCCTAGACCTTCTCCTGAATTTCAGAAGGTCCCACCGAAACGTGTCCCCCAAAGTGCCAACAAAAAGCAGAAGCATTAAGCGGCCAGCGCCGGAGCACAGGTATGAAATGACTTTACTGGTACGAAAGCAGTCCTGGGAACAGTGAGAAATGAGGTATTTCACTGCTCCTCACCTGAGCCCTGCACACCGAGGGCCTACTGAGCAGGACACAATGACACACTAATGACAAAGCGAAGTGAACCCAAGCTGTGTTTGTAAGAACAGCCGGGGTTACACAACCTTACAGAGCAGCAGTCAGCCAAAAAGAGCCTTCTGAAATAAACAGCAACTTGTCACAAGAAGGCAGCAGACACGTTCCTGCAGACATGGAGCATTACCAGATCCATGCGAAGGACAGGACTTATTTTTCCCTAATATCTACGAGAGCTGCTTGTCAGCAACAGCTCGGCTCAGCTCGAGGAATGTCTGAAGTCATGTTTGAACCTGCTTTGAAAACTGTGCAATGCCAGAAACTGGTATCTGAACATTTTAGACAGCAGTTTTAGACAGGTGAGCAGCTTTTTGAGGTCTGGATTTGAAATCCTTCACCCAAAAGATTTTTCACAGAGAACAGAGGGTGACATCAGGGAACTAACGCCAAGGCTGGGTTTGATAGACATAATACTACTTTATTCCATTGTTTCAACTTTCTTACAGGTTTAAAAAAAATGTACAGGGGTTCAGAACCACCTCAACAGAACAAAGAGTACAGAATTAAGGGAGCTCTAGAGTCAAACCACAAGTGTGCACAGGTGGTCAGCTTCCATTACAAAAAGTAACAGGCACAATCTTTACATATGCATTTTGGTGAAAGAAGGAATAATAGTGCAGTGTTAAAAGGCACCAATAATCAATAATTGGGCCCTTTTTAAAAGCCAATAACCATCTAAGAAAATTACATTTGGCTCAAAATCATAATTTAAATATTGTATCGACTGGCATGCATCTGAACCCCTGGCAACTTATTACACAAACCTAATGTGCGCCCTTGCAAAATCAGAAAGATTTCATCAGTGGACCTGAAAGTCATTTCAGTACAAAAGGAAATACTGAAGCTCTTGGCCTGTAATTAACACTAAACTGTCTTGTTCACCTCCTCTGAGAACACTTGTCTAACAAACAGCTATTCAAGAATGGCACAGAAGTGTTTTTCTTAAAGCAAGTGTAAGTTTTTTTTAACCCTGTAGCATTGATCTATTCCATGTGCTAGGAAAACATTAGGCACAGACCACAATTTATGTTTTCCTTTAAAAAAAAAAATAAAAAAAGTACAGTATGTGCAAGCGAGGTTCACACGATGGACTGACAGCTACAACAGTGAGCAATTTAGACTTCCCAAAGAGAAGGGCTAGTTAGTTTGAATTCTCCAAGCAGTGCTGACACACTGGTATGTGCCATTATCATCTCTGCATTAGGAGTGTCTGTGGAGCCAATAAGGAAAAGCTTTAGTACACCCTAAAGGACACTACATGGATACCGTGTGCTGATTTAACGGGATCGACTGAAGGAGTCCTTGGACACAGGCAGCTGCAGTCACTCAGCCAGCCAGGAAGGGCTTGTGCTTTCTGCAGGAATAGTGGTCTGAAACTCAGTTTACCTCGTAGGTGCCCTCAAACTAAACTCCCCCTGGACGCAATGGAATCTAGGGATGCAGAGCATGGAGGAAAAGAGGGGAAATGAGAAGGAGAGGGAGAGCTCCTCTGACAGTGGTACCAAAACCTGCCAGTTAATCCCAAAGCATCATGCCCAGGGCAGGGTTTACGCATTGTACAACTGAAAATTGTACAGGATGTGAGCAGAGACAGAGCTGATTATTAACCTGCAGTATCTACTGCAGTCCTCAGGTATATAGTTTATGGATAGCTGCTTACTGTGATGTTGATTGCTTCCTCTTAAATATATTGAGATTCAGAAGGCTACAGTATATTCTGACACAAAGATAGTAGGACAGCTTGTCTACAAGGGGTAAAACATAAGGTAGTAACTAAGTTATTTATTTTATGAGGAACCTCCTCTGATAGTTACTGGTAGTTACTTCATGCCCTTTGGAAGGTTTTTAGTCCTGACTTTCTTCATCGTCTCTGTGGAACTGCTCTCCTCACAATTCCCCCAGAGTCCAGTGACCCCTCTCACAGCAGCCTTTTCCTTTTCCACAATCCCTTGTAAACTCCCTTGTAAACTCCCTCTAACAGCAAGCTGCTCAAGTAAACATTTCTCTCTGGCCAGTTTCCAGACACAGCAGATACTATTGAAACTCCGCATTTGATTACATGCACCCGTTGTCTCTAAATGGAGCAGGAGTTAGCCCGTTTCCTCGGCTTAGGGTCCCGCACATCCCTGTCTTTCAAACACGTGCAAGATGAACATATTGTCTCCGACAGTCTCCGCAGTCCCAGCCTGAAAACGCTGTTGGAGAGGCTATAAATCACACAGTTGCAGAAACTATTGCTTATAGCAAGCCATGTCGTTAGGAAGGAGAGTGCGGGGTTCTCCAACACCCTCGAGCTCTCCAGCAGGAAGTATATGATATAGGGGAGCCACAGCACGTAGAACACGCTGGTTATCCGAAACAAAACCATGGCATAGCGGCGGTCGGGGCTGTGCCCGGTGTCCCCAGCAGCATCCACTTCGTGGCTCGGAAAGCGAGCTCTTCGATCGTTTATCTCTTTGGTGTGCTGCCGGCAGATCTTAAAGATGTGGAAGTAGGTGAAGCAGATGACAAAGGCAGCAGGAGCGTAGAGTAAGCACACGATAAAGCCAGTGAAATAGGCATTAGTTAGCCAGGAGGTAGCACACCATTCAAAAATATCTCCATGGTAACCAGGTTTTCCCCAACCAAAAAAGGAAGGCAAGAAGATCAGGCAAGAGTATATCCAGATCAAACTAATGCAGATTCTCAAGCGACAAGGGGTGACCAGTTGGTTATAGGAGAGAGGCTTTGTTATAGCGAGATAGCGATCCACACTGATGCAAGCCAGACATGCCATAGACACGCTTTTGAGCACAGAGATGATATATCCAAAAACTTGACAAGTCAGGGACTCGTGGACACCTGTCGGGTAGTGGAGCAGTGACAGAGTAGGAACCAAGCAGCTGACTCCAACAAAAAGATCAGCATAGGCCATGGTCTGAATAAAATAGCTGGTGGTGTAATGATGCAGGAGTGGAGCACAGTGGAAAACAAATATCACAGTTAAGTTACCCGCAATGATTAAGAATGTGAGCAAGACAATAACGACTGTCTCAAGGATACAGACGTCAACTGCATTGTAGTGACCAAATCCAAGAGGGCAGGAGAGGTGCTCAGATGTGTTCATAACACTACTGCTCATATTCAGAGTCCTCCATTCAATCCATCGGGACTGGTTCATGCTTTGTGCTTAGGGAACACTGCAATCTGAGCCTGAGTGAGCAGGTGACCTGCTGAACAGCAGCTAAACTCTGCTCCAGCAACTCCAGATCTCTCTTTGCAGACACTGCCAGTGCTTACATGGGAGGGGATTACAGTCCCATAGCTGTTGATGCCTCCTCAGCATCAGTGCATCACCTCTGGCACACCTTGGCTTTAAGGAAAGAAAGAAAGAAAGAAAGAAAAGAAAAACAAAAGCCAGAAAGAGAAAGGCCACTGATCAGCTCCTCCAGTGCTCTTGACTCATCTTTAGCAAACACAAGGCACTTCTAAAACAAGCAGGTACCCAGAAATACAGAAATAAAAACTGACAAAAGGGACACATTCATTTCCCAGGGAAGGAGGGGAGGGAAATCTCTAACTGCTTATTTTCCTGAGAAAGTCCTTTGCTTTGGAATATACTGGCGAGAGGGGGAGGAAGGGAAGGAGGAACCTCAGTACAGCTCAGGTTTCCTGGACCAGCAGTTACTGGAGATAATCTTTATAATGTCTCAGTTTAAATCACAGACTGACTGAAAACTAAAGGAAAAAGTTCATCCTCTAATGGTGTCTTTCCTGGTTCCATTCAGGAGATGGTATTCCTTCTTATCTGTGCTATTCATTGGAAAGGTAAGGAAAACATTTTTGTCAAGGTTAATTCCAATAGACTCACCACTGTTTGGGTATTAATAATGAATTTTATTTGGAGGGAGATGGGTGGGGGATGAGGCAGACTTGTCCTCTGACTCCTAAGAAAGAAAACATACATCTAACATACAATGAGGAAGATTGTGTCTATTCACTTGAAAATGAAAATAATTTAAGAATAGAATTTGGAGACTTATGTCAATATTCACAGTTCCTTCAAACAGTTATAGTCCATTACAATTATTAATGTGAGACCCATAATTCAATGTCCCCAGAGACAAAATAAATCCTCTTGAATTTAATTTCAGCAACGCCAATCTAAAATAATCATCTTTGGAAACTCTGCCACATCTGCTACAGCGGATCAGGATTTCATAGGTATAGCCATGATATTGCTCACCTCTGTAGCAACACCTGAATCATTTCACAAACCCCCACTCAACGAGCTCAGAAACTTCCATCTGCATTCTGCTGGGAAGCTAATGAAATGCTGATTTGACTAGAAAAGCTGCCATTGTTTACTACTCCATTATTCTGTTGTTCAGCTTCATCTTCTCAGGGGTTTAGGGTTTCTGTATTTATTAGATGATTAGCATAATAAATAATTGCTTTAAAAGAAATGCTCTTCTAATTGCAGGACATTACCTTGTTCATTTTAGTCAAAGTTATGGAGAGAGAAAATGTTAAAAGAAAGGATCTTCTGTGTTCAGTTCTAAGTAAATGCTTGATTAGTTCAGGAACCATTAGGCAGGTACTTAAATGTATACAATCTTGTTTTTTGAAAGGCCCCTAAAACGTTAAAACCATCTTTAATCCTAGAGTTCCTGAGACTAGAAGACTGGCAGTGAAAATTAATGAATCCACATGAAATAATCTCCAAGGTCATTCAGATATTACGCTGGCATTTGCTTTAAGTCTCTTTAAAAGTACCGGGATCTCTCGGATGATTTTAATAGTCCTTGCCGTGTCTTCAGGAGGAATTTCAGACACCAGAAGAGCTCAGTGTTCAATTCTGTCGCAGTACTTTGAGAGAAAGCGTTCTTTTTGGAGTTCATTTCCTGTTTTGTATCACCACGCTGTAAAGTCCTTTTAGGTTTTATAACATCCCAGAATATTTCCGGCTATTCACTCCCTTTGTCTATAATGCAAGATACAAAAAAAAAAAAAAAAATCACTCCTTCCTCTAATTCCCCGCTAAAGCAATAGAGAAGCTTTCTCACCTACACGCATCCTCTGCCGGGGAGTTCTGTCAGCGCGGTGCGGCTGGAGCGGCTGGCGCTGCTTCCCCCGTGCGAGCGGTGCCTGCACCTGAGCCCGCTCCCGGCTCCTGCTCCTGCTCCTCCTCCTCCCGCCGCCGCAGCCCGCCGGCGCTGGAGCGGTGCCTGCCGCTCCGCTGCTCCCGGTACATCCAATGGCGCCGCCGCTGGCACCGGGAAGGGCGGCGGGGAGGAGGGAGCGGAGCGGAGCCCGCCGCACCGAGCCTGGGCAGCCGAGGGGCTCCGCTCCGGGAGCCACGGGGTGCACTTTTCAGGCGTCACCTGCGGAGGTTTAATACCTCGGCAAAGGTGTTACAATTTTGCTTGGCGAAATACCTGCCCTGGTTTGACACAAATTTTCTAGTCTTGCTTAAAAGACAGTTACAGCCCCTCCCCCCTTTTTAATTACTTCCCCTAATTAATTACTTCCATCCTCAATATATAGATTATAAAACTCATCTGCTCCTGGTTTCAATACTGTACCAATCTCTAAGTGCTTTAACATCAGTTTAAATACAAATACTTGTGAGTAGCACATTACTTTCCAAACTTAACCCAATTAACTGAGCTCTCTACTCCTGCAAACGGATGCTGCTATTCCCTGATTAAGGACTCAGAACTTTTGTTTACTTTGTGCTTTCCAAAAATAAACCCAGTCACAGAAGTACAACCATCAAAGTTACCTCACACAGCCTCACCGTGCGTCCTTAGACACTGAAGCAGCAGCTTTAGGTACCAAAATACCAACCACAGAACAGCATTTTGGGCTATCGATCAGCAAAAGATGTGTCAGGGATGGTACTGGAGGCTTTAACCAACTAAGTCATGAGAAACTACAATGATTTAAATCCTTTCAGTTCCCAGGCAAACCACAGGCAAAATTTTAATAAGCTGCTCCTGGGTTAACATCTTGTATTTCGAGTACTGCCTGGAGCGAATATTCAAGGCTGAATGACAAGTCTGTAGCAATGTGAGGCAGCACAAACTGCAGCAATGTAAGAGTGGTTTGCAGTAAGGGCGTGTGATCATTCCAAAGTCTTCCATCGGAGGATTTAATAAATATTAAACTTGCTCTGATACCTCAGAATGGCAAATGGCTGAAACAATAGACTTAATGACTAAATTTAGCCCCTGAGCACAGCGTTAAGCCCGAGCTATCCATACCATGGGCAGAATAACAGGGAGCAATTTTTATTCCTCCTCTTTTCACTCTTGTGAGGGAGGAGGAGAACAACAACGGTGAGCACAGGCATGGCAGGAACCCGGACTTCTCCACCCCCTCCCTGGGCTGGCTCGTTGGCACCAGGGACATAAAGGACCAGAACACCTTAAAATGGACATTAGAAAGCCCCAAAGGCACAAGGGCACATCAGCTAAGCAAAGGTAAAGCGTGACATAAAATGCAGTGCATCCTGCTCCATACAGATTTGAGGACTGGGAACTAAAGCTCCCAGATGTCACAGCGACCACTGAGTCACCTTGTTCCCAGCTGGTGCCCGCTGTGTGTGCCTAGAGAGCCCAACTCTGACAACAAGCCCTCGTGGCAGCCAAATATTTCAGCTCTGGTACAAGAAATCCAGGCTCTGCTGAGTAGGTAACAGGAAAAATCAATGGCAACCTCTGCTGGTTGGTTCTAGACACAGGTAAAACACTTCCTTTGCAGAAATTGTAATTAAAGGAACCGAGTGCTTCAAAAGTAGGGAAGTTGGATTTCTTTGTGGGAATACAAGCAGACTTCCTTCACTCTCAAAAAGCCAGTCATGCTGCAAGCTGCCAGCGGCTTCATCACTTCAGCTATTCACTGCAAATTGCACCAGGCTGACGGCACTAACTTGCACTATTTTACGTAGATTTGGAGGTAAGTGAAAATTAAAGCAGAAATCAGCCAGTCCTGATGAAACTGTGCAATTCTAGATGGAATTTTACAAGATGTGGCAATACCAGAATGTTGTACCAGCGGTGGCATGTTAAAAGCTCTCTGGGAAAAGTTTAGATGTGTGTTTAGAGACACATTTGAGAGTCTGGAACAGTTTTAAACAAATGTTCTTCAGGATTTTTTTAATTTGTGTGTAAAGAAAAGGAAGTGAGAAAGAGAAAAGCTCTACTGGAAGAATTTAATGGCTGTCACCAAAGCAGTGTTGTACACGGTGCAGAAGTTCCATAGCTGGTTATGTCCAGCAGGACGGAGCACTCTTCAAGAGGAAGAGAAGGAGCAATTCCACACCTTCTTTATAAATTACATCAGCTTGAAATAACACAAGCTGCCACCCAAAACAGAAGACTCGCACCATCTGATGCTGCAGAAAACAGAGGGGATGTGGTAGGAGCATGAGCTTTGTGTATGCGAAGAGAGGCTTTGAAAGCAGTGGTGATGTGTGACCCTGAAAGGAAACCAGATAAAGCTCCTCAGACAGAAAAAGTCCATACATACAAAGAGAGATTTAGAAGCTCCAAGCAGGAAAACAATCTATTGGCCATTCTATTTGGAAAGGAATAGAAATATTTGTTTCCCAAGTCTTTCATTTTGAGGCAACAGGACTGATGGAAACAATCCCTGCAGTGCACACGGCACCATCTCAGTCCCACCACTCATTTGTAGTTCAAAGCCTTTCTTTGTTAAATTATTGGATGGTCACCCAGATTAAATGGACAACAGTAATTTCTGTAAAATCTTTTTAAAAGCATTGATTAGAGCAGGGAGGTGCAGCTGAGAGGGTGAGATGAGGAACACAGTAGTTATTTACTTAGGTGCAGACCTGAATGGCAGTGCTGATATATACCAGCTCCTCAGCTTCTTTTCTTCTGCCCAACTCTTGTTTTTTTAGTACTACTTTCTTTTATGTACTTTCTTTTAAGTCTGTATAACAAAGGTGTTTCTTCAGTTTGCTTTATTTTTAAGCTTAACTACCTCTGGCATTTACTTGCCCACATATCTCATGGACGGCTTGATTTTACTACTAATGCCTCCAGAATAATTCTATCCTATAAAGCTTGCAGTTGTAGTGCAGCTTAAAGCAGGAGAGGAGGAAGGAAAGTCAGTTGTTGCCTTAAAAATTGTGTGTATGTGTAGATGGTTGGGTTATTCTACATCAGATTACCATCTAAAGTTGCTCTGTGAAGTCATATTGCTGCTGTATTTAAGGCAGAAATTGGTTCTATTTGTTATTTGGAATATAAAGCCTCTTCCCCAAATCCACCCACTACAGCTGTCAATTTAAAACCTGCCATGGAGAGCTCTGGCTTACACGGGGATTTTGACCTGAGTACAAGTGTATGATGAGATATAAGAAGTGTGTATATATATATATATATATATATATATATATTTATATGTACAAACCCTTTATTTTTCCTCTAAACAATCTTAGCCTTCTTAAACCCTTTCTGTGGGAAGGCATCTCTTGATATCATCTGGTCTAATGCTCTGCTCAAAGCAGGGCCAAGTTCAAATTCAGGTCCAATGCCAAATTTAGGCCCTGTTGTGCTGGGTCCTACATCCAGCTGAGCTGAGAACATCTCCAAGGATGGAGTTTTCACAGCCTGTGACTCCCACCATCCACTCAGGATTTTTTTTGCTGTGGTTTATCTTCATCCTCTCATCAAAACTAAACACTTCTGGGCCAGTAATGAAAATCCAGAAGTGTCAGTTCTGAAGGAAACTACAGTGTATTGTAGAAATTTGTATTTCTCCACCTGACAGTCTCATTTATTGGTTTTGCTATCACAGAGCAGCTCCTTTCCTTCTCCCTCCCACCCCATGATCCCAAGGAATGCCACAAACATTTTACAGTGCTATGGCCCACATACTCTTGTGCTGCAGCAAAGACCAAGAGGTACCAGTGACACAGCTGCATTTCTGAAATGCAGATGCTCTTGAGGAGCACTTAACTTCATGGATGCAGGAAAAGTTATCCCCAAAGCCTGCACAGGTCTTTTCGGCATTAGGGCAAAACTGAATTTGGTGGCAGCAACACAGCAGGTTCTGTAAGATGGGGGAGAAGGAAGGAGTAATTTGGAGTGGAGGGTGGGGGCAGTTCAGGAAAGAGGTTGGAAGGGGACAGAGCTTTCTAAAGGGGGAAGGGATGTGGAAGGGAGCTAATGAGCCCTTCTCCTTTCACTACTGCTCCAGCAGGCTCAGGTTCAGCCTGTTTCTCCACTGGATTCCCAGCTCAGTCCTTTTCCAACACAGTTTCTAAGGATGCAAATATCAGTATCACCTAACTGTCAGGCAATTAGGATGCTGTGATGCAGAACAAGAAGAAATGGACAAATAATATTTTTTTTCATGTGGATCAATAGACAGAGATGGGCATTCACATTTGCAAGTTTATTGTGCAGTCTTTTCATGCCATTAAGCAACAATTACATCGAACATTTCTAAAGCTTGAAGCTTTTAAATTAGCTCTTAACATTATTCATGTATTTAATAAATACAAAGCAAGTTTTTGGAGTAAATTGCTGCCATAATCTCCCTTTAAACACTCCTGCCTGTAGTCTCATGGATTATATGTCACAGAATCACAGAATGGTTTGGGTTGGAAGGGACCTTAAAGATCATCTTGTTCCATCCCCCTGCCATGGGCAGGGATGCCACCCACAGATAAATGCAAAACAAAAAATGAACATTTTTTTTTCAGGAGGAGCTTCCCTCAAGATGATATTGATGCCTCTGTGATAAACGGCACCCACTTTACAAGCTCAATTCGGAGTGACAAATTCCACCAAATTCCTGTGCCTCGAATCAATAGAAATAAAACTCCATGCAATAAACTGTCAGGAAGTGAATCTACTTCAGGGAAATGCTGTGCAGTCTAATGAATGGTGATAATTAGCATTTTTCAGGCACTGAACAGCATTTGCTTTAAACAAACAGCACTTAAGCTACAGAAGGATGCTATTTACTGACTGACCACATATGGTAAGAAATGCATTGGAAGCACAAGAAAAACATCTTAGGATGGTATGAAAAGCAAAAAATTAAACATGTGCCCTCAGTTTCATGCATGTGCTACTAAAACTAAACCACCTGCTCTTAACAGTAGGACCATCTTAAAAAAGAAAAGTATACTGGCGAAAGAACA